GTGGACTTCAACTCCCAGAATTCCTCAGCCAGCATTCGCTGGCTGAGGAATTCTGGGAGTTAAAGTCCACCAGTCGTCAAGTGGCCAAGGTTGGAGAGCCCTTGTCGTGAAACACACCTAACTTCCAACCACATCATCACAGCCGCCATCTTGCCTTGTGTGCGGACAAGCCCTGCTGCATCCGATTGGGGGTTTGCTCCATTTCTCTTGCTCTCCCTAAGAAGAGGAAACTCAACTGGGGAAAGTCTCCGCTCTGAAGAAACCATCTGGCCATTCTCACGAGGCTCAGACCCTCTAAAGGTTAAAGAAAATGAAGGGATCGGCCTCCCTCCGCCTCGCGCCTAAATTAAAATTGTTCGTTCTTTCCCAGCTAGTGCTGCCAGGACGGACACAACATGGCAGGATCCCAAGCGAACTATTCTTGCTTCCTCAGGCCATTTCCACACCGCACCCATTTCCTGCCCACTGCGAGTCCCTATTCCTCTTCCCTCCTCCCCCCTCCCCGTTTATTATTATGATTACAAGCATTTCCACGGAAGTCAGGACAGGTTAAAGACGGCGGAAAACCTTTGGAGCTGAAAGACTTCCGTTCCTTAAAGTAGCTTTAACAATGGATTCTGGAGTTGAATAACCGCGGGGCTCCGAAAGCTTGGGAATGGAACTCTGGCGCGCTTCTGACCTGACGGATTCCAGGACAAGAAACTTTCAACTCGAGTTCCTTTTCTGGGTCCTTCCTTCTGCACGGCCTCTCTTCGGATAAGAGCGCAGGAGAGGGGGAAAGAGATGAGCAAAAACAGCTTCCGGGTGGGGGGGGGCTCGAACAGACTCACATTGCCGGAGACGAACCTCGTCCAAGAATGGGCTGTGCAAGTGGTCATTTAACAACCCCTGGACGATACAATGGTGCTGAAAAAAAGGCGACTTGTGACTTGGTCCTAGCATTTGTGACCCGAGCAAGATTCGAACAGCTTAGTAAGACCACACGTAGCTTACTGCATCCAGTTTTGCTCTGGCCTTGACCCAAAGCAGCTTCTCTCTCTCTGCTGTGCTGTCTGTAGTCCCTTCTATACTGAATACTGTATCCAGTTTTGGTCACCACACTATAAAAAAGAGGTTGAGACTCTAGAAAGAATGCAGAGAAGAGCAACCAGGATGATTAGGTTAATGGAAGCTAAAACATACAATGAACAGTTGCAGGAAATGGGCCTGGATAATCTAATGAAGAGAAGGACCAGGGGAGACAGGAGAGCAGCCTTCCAGTATTTGAGGGGCTGCAATGGATGGAAACTGAACAAGGAGATTCAACTTAGAACTAAGGAGAAATGTTCTGACAGTGAGAACAATCAACCCATGGAAGAGAAGTTGCTTTCAGAAGTTGTGGGAGCTTCATCACTGGAAGCTTTCAAGAAGAGACTGGACTGCCATTTGTCAGAAATGGTGCAGAGTCTGCTTGGGCAGGGGCTTAGACTAGATGACCTCCAAGGTCCCTTCCAATTCTTTTAATCTGTATCTGTATCAGCTTGATATAACGATGGATGCTAAATTCTGCGTGTAGATTAACAGAATCTCTCCTTGTCCTTCTCTTCTCTAGACTAGCCATGCCCGGTTCCTGCAACCGTTCATCGTATGTTTGAGCCTCCAATCCCCTCATCATCCTGGTTGCTCTTCTCTGCACTCTTTCTAGAGTCTCAACCTCTTTTTTTTTATAGTGTGGTGACTAAAACTGGATGCAGGATTCAATGTAGAAGGGGCTACAGACAGCACAAAGGAGAGAGAAGCGGCTTTAGGTCAAGGCCAGAGCAAAGAAACCAAGCGGTTTACAGAGTCAGCCTCTGGGTCATCTGGGTCCTCATTTTACCCACCTCGGAAGGATGGAAGGCTGAGTCAACCTGGAGCCTGGCGGGATTCGATCTGCCAAACTGCAGTAGGAGCAGTTTGCAGAACTGCACTCTAACCACTGCGCCACCAAGACTCCTATAGGTACTGACCCGGCAGATTTGCTAAAGGTAGACCCTGGAAAAGCAAGAATCTGCTCCCAGCAGCACCAGCAGCTGGCTAACTGGGCAAATAGGAGCATTCCCTGGGAAAGTGGCATCAGATCATGTGTGTCTGCAGCGGTCCTAGAAAAATCAAATAAATCAGCCCCTTTACATCCGCGTGGAGGGGAGGGCAACCCCCAAAAGGCATCCCTGCCAAGGTTTAATTAGTATTTCTCCTTGTATGGAGACGCGATCCCGGAGAAACCTTTTCATCTGATCTGGGAACAGAGATGGAAAGAGAGAGAGAGATGGAGAGAGAGAGAGAAGAGGGGGAAACTTTTGCAAAGCTGTAGTTTGCATTCGTCACCGCAAAAACCACACTTGGCAGAAGGCTGGGAGCCACCCGCAGCGACGGGGGGGGGGGGGAGGGGGGGTGGGCTGGTGGCCTGAAAACCAACTTTTCCCACACCCTGTGTTAATTTTAATTATATCATATCCAATATAAAATGCTGGCGCTTGGCTGTGAGCTCCAAAGCCTGAGCAGGGCCAGAAATCTGTGCGAGAATGATGTCATGCAGGCAGCATTATGTGATGTGGGTCAGATCCATGCTTGGCAGTCGCTCCCTTTTGCCCCAACCAAGGCGGGAAACCAGCCTCTGTGATAGAAGCTCTTGTCATCTTTTTTTAGGCTAGAAGTGACAGCACATGGCCAACTTTTACCCCAGGCCCTCCAGGGACTTGGCATCAATTTAACCCATTCACTTCACATCTCCTCTTTCCTCCAGAGGGATGAGTTAACAGGAGATGTGAAGTCTGCACCACATCGCAACCTCTTGTTTTATCCCAACAATCCTGTAGGTAGGTCGGAGGGAAAGGAGGAAAAGTTGGTGACTCCGTGCAAAGTCAAATAATATACCCTGAAGATGGTACTTAATTTCGTTGTACGAGGTGCAATGACAATAAAGTAAACTAAACTAATTTATTATAGCAAATAAGGTGCTAATATTGGGCGCCTCTCACTTAATGGCTTAGGAATGGAAGTTCTCCTCCCACTTGTAAGTAGGAGGCTCTGCCTGTAGAGTTGAAACTCCATCTCTGCACTTTAATCCAATCTTTTAACCCAACACCAGACTGACTCTTTCTCTCTCTCTCTCTCCCTCCCTAGCGTGTCCCCCCCCCCCCATGAAATTATTTTTATAAGCTTTTCTGAGCTGAGAACAGCGTTCAGAAGTAAAGAGGAGGAGGAGGAGGGGGGTTGGAGGAGGAGAAGAGGAGGAGGAGGAGAAGGGGAGGAGGAGGAAGAAGAAGAAGAAGAAGAAGAAGAAGAAACGGCAGCAGCACAGAGATGGAACTGAGCTTCATTTTTTTAAAAAAATATAGCATTTAGCCAATTGAAATCTTTGCATCACAAACACTTGCTAATTTTAAATCTGGTTCACGCCTTATATTCCACTTGATTTCCTCCGAGCCATATTTAAAAGCTTGACATTGTTCCCTAAGCTTGTGTTTCTCAAACTTTAGCAAGATGCTGGCTGGGCTGGGGAATCCTGTTGTTTGAAGTCCAGACATCTCCAAGTTGCCAAAGTGGAGAATCCCGGCCTAAGTCAACGCCAAACAGCCAGGGGGTTGCCTCTCCTCCAGCACAAGAGAAGCCTTCCAGCTGTAACTCACCCTTACCAGCACGCGTGGGATGGCACCAGTAGAGACGGCTGATGCCAACGCCTCCGGCCAGGGGGCGAACAAAACTTGTGATTTATGCGGGGAAGATCGGAGGCGTGGGAGGGGGGGGAGGGGGCGGGGGGGAGGGGGGGGGGGGGGGGGGGGGGGAGCAGAGGCAGTTGAGGTAGCAACAGCAAAAAGAAAAGAAAGAAAAGAAAAAAGAAAACCCCTCCCTTGCAGAGAACAGCCCTGTCTGTCCTGGCCCCATTCAATTCCATCTGTCCGCCCCATGTAAATCGGGGAGACAAACGAGTCTTTGAGGCAGAAGAAGAATGACCAGAAGATTGGGGAGAAGGGGGGGGAGGAAATAAATGGGGGGGGGAGGTTTGTGGGGTGAGAGTGAATCAGGCATTCTGGGAACCCTCCCGAGATTAGCCACAAAAGCATTTGTTTCCCCCGTCTCAACAATAGCTGCTGAATTTTGACCGAATCCCAGCTGTCATTCTTTGCAAACAGGTTTTAGAGAGTCCGGGGTAAGGTTGGCTTCTAGGAGCCAAAAATAAATAAATCCAAACGGGCATTTTTATAGGAATGTGTGGCGTGTCTGTGTGTGCATGTGTGTGTGTACGTATATATGTATGTATGTTGTGGCATGCATTCATCGGCATCTCACTAAGTAGCCGAGTTAAATTGTCTGTTAAATTGCTCTCATGCTGATTAATTTGCTGAAGGGGGGGCTCTCTGACTCTCTCCTAAGCAAACTCGCAAAGCATTAAAGGGGGGGGATAAAAGAACAGGGGGGCTGCCTCTCCCCCCCCCCTTTCACTCCCTCCCCACACACCGTTGGTTTCAGAAAGGCCACTGCCTCACCGCAAGCCAGCTTTCTCGAGGGCAAAACCTCCATACTCCAAGAACCAATTTGATTCACATACTTCTTCCCGCCTTTTCCTTAAGAGCACAACAGGGGTTGTGACAATTCGCAGGACCCAAACGGGCCACAAGACAACTCGCTGCGGAACCAAGAGTTGCACTTAATACCAAAGAAATTCTGGAATAGAATCATTCAAGAGAAGACGCAAAAGGAAGGACAAAAGGTAAACGTGAATCACAAATATTAAAATGTTTTCTTCTTGCGTTCAAGAAATGAAACTGAATTGTTGAAGTCTCCCACATTCTGGCACAACCTGCTATAACCACGGCTCCCTGCTCCTATTTTCCCCCTGTAACAACCACACTGTGAGATAAGTAGGTAAGTCACACACAATGGGTTTTTGCATGATTGAGAACAGCCTTCAGACCAGGCCTTTCTCTGGTCGTATTTCGCCGCTTAGCCGTAATGCCCACCGATTCTTTGGTTCGGTTCAATTTGATTCCGATTTAGTTAACTTCTGCTGAACTTCTATTTTCCAAACATACTTGTCCAGTTTGGAACTGGGCAGGCTGCTTGGATACTTCTTCTAAGTCAAACGGACAAAGAGCAAGCTGATTATTTTTTTATCCATCCATTTGGACAGTGTTGGTTTCTGACCCCGAGAGCAGCTGGCACCCATTATGGCAGGAGGTCTCCAAACGTGGCAGCTTTAAGACTTGTGGATTTCAACTCGAAAAGTTTGGGGACCCCTGCATTGTGGAGTCAGTTAGGAAAGCAACACCTTGCAAAATCCCCCCAGGGCACCAAATTCTGCTGCTTCCAGATTCTGCACCCTATTCTACCATGTTCCTTGAATGCACCATGATCTATAGGTAGGATTGGGACAGCCTTCCCTGGCCCGAGGCTCTCTAGCTGCGGTGTAAGAGCACTCATATTCCTTAGGCTGAGGAGATGCAATCCTGTTGTGTCTGGAAGGAACAAATTCAGGAGCCATTCTGGTCCATGGGGATAATATTCCAGGGGATTCGTCAACAAGTGATCTAATCAACAGCAGAACCTCACAACCTTCCACGTCCTCCTTTGGCAAACCAGCATTTGTTAGAAGGACCATAAGGGAGCTTGTTCAGGCCACATGCAAGTTCTCAGTTGCTGTTATCTCTCCCTCGTAAAATGGAGGAGAAACCCCCCCCCCCACGCCCAATGCAGCACCGCCCTATAAAACTGTCTCCATGTTCTTTCGAACAACCCCTTCCTTCCATCCGGCCTTCCAAACCTAGACTTCTCCAGTCTCCCCACAGACAGAAAGGAGAGCCTGGGTCACTTCTATCCCAAGGCCCATTTTAACAGAATAACAGAATTGGAGGGGACCTTGGAGGTCTTCTAGCCCACCCACCCCTACTCAAGATGGAGACCCTATACCACTCCGGACAAGTGGCTTGCTTAGGTCCACATGCCTAAACAAGGTCGGTTGTGGCTCTTCTTAAAAGCCTCCAGTGTTGAAGCACCCACAACTTCTGGTGGCAAGCTGTTCCACTGGTTAATTGTCCCCACGGTTAGGAAGCGTCTCTTTGATTCCAGGTTGCTTCTCTCCTTGATTAGTTTCCATCCGCTGTTTCTTGTCCTCACCTTTGGTGCTTTGGAGGACAAATTGACCCCCAACTCTTCTTTGTGGCAGCCCCTTCAAATACTGAAATACTGAAATATCATGTCTCCCCTAGTCCGTCTTTTTACCAGGGAAATCCAATTCTTGCAACTGTTTTTCACAGGCCTTCAACTCCAGCCCCCTAATCATGTTTGTTGCTCTTCTCTGGACTGTTTCCAGAGTCTCTATATCTAATCTTTGTTCAGAAGAAGGAAAGATATCAAAGCTTTTGCCAACTCCCAGTTTTTTTCCTCTGAGACATGAAGTGACTTTCCTTCTATCCCCACAAACTACCTGCGTCTTCGTTCTTGCTAGAGATTGGCAAAAAACAAAACAAAAAAAAAACACCAATGTATTTTCAAGCCCAGAAAAAAGTAGATCCACGCCAAATAAGAATACCCTCCTTCAGTCGAGACAAAATTCAAAAGGCCCACGTTGTTTTCCTTTCAGAAAAAAAAACCCCCAAACCTTTTAGAAAGCCCATGTTTTGTCCCAAGCTTGTAATGCTAAAAAAAAGAAAAGAAAGAACCCTATCTCAGGGTTGAAAACTTTTGCATGCTTTCACTCCCCACGCTTATTTAAAAAACAAGCTAGTACTCACAGACAAGCTCCTGTTCCATTTTGATAGGTTTCGCACTTTCCACCGTTCAAGCAGGACTCAGAAGGCTGCGTGCATCGCAAACCTGCAAGAAGAGACGAGAGATGATTTCCTGGCACTGGTGAAGCTCAGCCACAGGATGGAAAAGATATCAAGGGAGTCCATGTGACGTCTTTAACAGATTAAACAGAGTTGGAAGGGACCTTGTAGGTCATCCAGTCCAACCCCCTGCCCAAGCAGGAGACCTCACATCATTTCTGACATAATGGCAGCCCAGCCTCCTCTTGAAAGCTTCCCACAACTTCTGAAGGCAACTTGATTTGCTTTCACTGTCAGAAAATTTATCCTTATTTCCAGGATGAATCTCTCCTTGTTCAGTTTCCACCCATTATTCCTTGTCTGGCTTTGGAAAACAGCTTGACCCCTTCCTCCTCCTCTCTGGGGCAGCCCCTCAAATGTTGGAAGATGCTCTCCTGTCTCCCCTGGTCCTTCTCTTCCCTAGACTAGCCAGGCCCAGTTCCTGCAAGCATTCATCATATATTTTAGCCTCCAGTCCCCTCATCATCCTAATTGCTCTTCTCTGCACCCTTTCTAGAGTCTCAACGTCTTTTTTATAGTGTGGTGACCAAAACTGGATGCAGCTTTATAGAGTGGTATTAGTACCTCCCTTTTGGTTTTTCTTGCCTAAGTGTAATACTTTATTTTTCTCTACATTAAATTTCATTTTGTTGGATAGGGCCCTAGACAGGATCGAGTCCACGTGCTCCCAGATGACAGGCTTCCCCTCCCCAAACACTAAGTATGGGGGAGGGTAATGGCCAATGCTCTGAGAACACATCCGGTTGGGAAAAGTTAAAGGACAGAGTTAGGATGTTAGTCATCTTTACATACGCAGCATTTCAGTGCTTTTGTAAAATAACAGGGCTTCAGTGATTCAATTTACCAGACTTTTGATTTAACGGAGCCGATTTTCTTTCAAGCACACTTCATTATATGCAAAGCAATGCAAACCATTCACACGGCAATTGATGCAAATAGCCTAAATTTCAAGTCAATGAACATTTGGGTTTTAACGGACATCCCTCCGCCAAAATCGTCCACAAAAGAGAAGGTTTGTTGTACAGATCCAAATGGCCTCAAAAATGCAATATTTCTTCTTCCCTCAATCGATTGCCATCTAAGAGCTCTACACCCATTTTACAGGCAGGAACTCAAAAGGTAAATCAGATGAAGTTTCCAGGACATGAATCATAATTTACTTTCTTAAATTATGGCCTTTTCAGGTGATTTCCAAATAATGAAGAGTCAGAATTGGAACCAGAGTGAGTCTGATCTAGCAGTTTATAAAGTCATCAGATCTGTATTTATGTATTCGTATCCCACCTTTATTATTTTTACAAATAAGTCAAGGCATTGAACATATCCAACACACCTTCCTCCTCCAATGTTCTCCACAACAACCCTGTGAGGTGGGTCGGGCTGAGAGAGAGAGGCTGGTCCAAAGTCACCCAGCTGGCTTTCATGCCTAAAGCAGAACTAGAACTCACCACCACCTAGTGATTGGCCCAAAATCACCCAGCCGGCTTTCATGTCTAAGACAATGCTAGAACACACCACCTCCTAAATGCTTGGCCCAAAGTCACCCAGCTGACTGTCATGCCTAAGGCAGGACTAGAACTCACAGTTCCTCAGGTTCTAGCCTGGTGCCTTAAACCACTAGAGATCAAACTGCTTTTTTAATCTACAAGCATGGCTTGCTATACACCCCAAGGAAAGCATTGTAGAAGTTTTTGTTTCCTCAGCTTCATAAATGATTGTGTAAATCAGGGGTCTCCAACCTTAGTAACTTTAAGCCTGACAGGCTTCAATTCGCAGAATTCTGGGAATTCTGTGAGTTGAAGTCTGCCAGGCTAAAAGTTGCCAAGGTTGGAGACCCCTGGTGTAAATGACCATCTAGGGTTTGCCACCGCCCACCCCATCCCCCAAATTCTAAGTGGCCTTGGCTCTACCCCTGCTTAGCTATTCAGAGATTAACCAAGTTGGTTTGTGGGGGAGAAGGACGCCCAAAGAAAGCCACCCAGGAAATTCCAGCTTAGCAATTCTCGTTTAAAATATATATATGTGTGTGTGTGTGTATCTCTTCTGAAGATTTCTATCTGAACAAAGCAGATGAAAAGGGAAAAAAACGCTTCATGGGCTGGACTGGCATTATGGGATGGCAACTGGGTGATCGCCAGGCAGAATGGGGGGGGGGGGGGGCAACCATCGCTATAATTCCAGCATCTATGCACCAGATATCATTTGAGACTCGAATAGACTGTTGGGTGTCTTCAATCACTAAAGATGACAATCTTAGCCAAATTGAACAGATGCCACGTTCCACGCTTCTTCCTCGGTTCTGGGAAACTCTTAAAGAGAAGAACCACAGAATCCTCTTGCACCCGTGTTTGTCAAGCGTGGCTGTTTTAAGACATGTGGACTTCAATTCCCAGAATGGCTGGCTGGGGAATTCTGGGAATTTTTTTAAAATAAATTTTATTGAATAAACATTAAGAACAATTGAACACAGTGAGACTTTCTTGACCATCATTTTGGCCATACAAGCTATATTATAGAGATAAACATAAAAGTTAATTTCCCTTTTCCCTTATTAGTATAGTGCTAACTGCATATTATTTCTATTTATCTACATTTATCTATAATTATATACATATTTACAACCGTCTTTTATACTCGTGCATCTGTATCATCTCATACTTGTCCATTATATTCCATTCTTTTTGGTTTACAAAACTTTTAACTTTCATTCCTATAAAGCGTCAACCCTTTCTTTCTTTTTCCTTGACTCTAGCCATTGATACATTTTACTCCAGACTCCATAATACTCTGTCTCACCCTTATCTTGGATTTCTAAAGTTAGTCTGTCCATCTCTGCACAGACTAATATTTTCCTTATTATTTCACTTTCTGTAGGGGTATCTTCATTCTTCCAGTTTTGGGCATATACCAATCTCGCAGCTGTTATTATGTGTATCATTAAATATATTGTTCCTTTACTGTATTTTTATTATTATTATTATTATTATTATTATTATTATTATTATTATTATTATTATTATTATTATTATTATTATTATTATTATTATTATTAATTATTATTATTATTATTATTATTATTATTATTAAACAACTCTACTTTCTGGTTAACTATCTCTTCTATCCAAACCTGTATTTTCCACCAGTACTTTTTTTGCTTTTATACATTTCCACCACATACGATAAGAGGTCCCTACCTCCTATCTTGGGGAATTCTGGGAATTGAAGTCCAAACATCTTAAAGCAATCTTTTAAGTTTGAAGAACATGGCTCTACGGACCTGCCTGTTTGACTCAAAGGAGATTTTATTTCTACAAGAATAATGAAGCATAATTCAGCATGCCAGCCAAGGAATTCTGGGAGTTGAAGTCCAAACACCTTAAAGTGGTCATTTTTGAAAATCATAATTGACCACAATTTGCCTGTGGGCTAACTTAACTGAACACCAAACCTGGTTTAAAACTAGGATTCTACTACAGGATATACTTCATGGAGTAACTAACCGGCTAGGTTCAATTTTCCTTTGTTGGTTTGGGCACTATATGTTCTATCAACAGGGGAAAAATGTATTTTGTTAACCCCCAAAAAGAGTTTCTTGGGCTGCCTGAATCAACTCAAACTTTTTTGTCAGACAGTAAAGGTCATATTTTTTAAAGGGGAAATTTTTATAAAACACCAAGCAGGATGCCAATCACGGAACCAGCTCTAAATAGGACCCGGTCCGCCCAGCGCATTAAGCCAGGGTTTAGATATCCCTGGTTCACACAGTTAATTGGTTTGGCATTAACAGAGTGATTATAGGTTTACCAACTATAACAGCGTTGCACATTATGTTTAGCCACAATCAAGCTGCACCACGTTAAGTACAGGAAGAGTTGCTGGCCCTCTTAAGTCGTCCAATGAAATCAAGATTTATTGTTTGTAAAAGTGCAATAAAGGAAACCAGTGTGATGCAAAAAAAAAAACCAAAAAACCCAACCATAAATTGCTAAAGGACAGGCCTGTCTGTCTGGGTTAGGCATTAAATGCACATTTGCTGAATTGCCTGCAATGAGGAAGAATGGCACCTCCACCTCCTCCTCCTCCTCCTCCTAGGTGCCTTGGCCTGGAAGCATTTGTGAACCGGAAGAAACAGACCTGGTTACTTTCAGGTCCTCTCAAGAAATAAGGAAGTGCTTTTGTCTCGAAGCATCTTCACAAGTTGAAGCATCTTAACAAGTCCCACTAAATGCAGACCAAGCAACCTTCTTCTGCCTGATAAGTAACAGAATAAAAGGATTGGAAGGGACCTTGAAAGTCATCTAGTCAAACCCCATACCATTCCAGACAAATGGCTGGCCAGTCTCTTTTTTAAAGCCTCCAGTGGCCCATGATTTCTGGTGGCAAGCAGTTCCACTGGTTAATTGTCCTCCCTGTGAGGAAGTTTCTCCTTAATTCCAGGTTGCGTCTCTCTTTGGTTAGTTTCCATCTATTGTTTCTTATCTTGCCTTCTGGTGCCTTCTGGAAGCCCCTCAAATATTTGAACACTGTTATCAAGTTGTCCCAAATCTTTATTTTCACTAGACTAGACTGTTCTTCATATGTTTTAGTCTCCAGGCCTTTTAATCCTCTTTGTTGCTCTTCTCTGCATTCTTTCCAGAGTCTCAAAAGAGTCTCAACATTATCCCCCCAAGGCATTACAAAGGAAGATAAATCAACTTGGAGCTGAAGTGCAGCAGAATGCGAAACTATGTTTGCCAAAACTTAAAAAACATTCTTTCAGTCTGCTAAAATAATGCTATTGTAGACCAATCAGCTTTTTAAAAAAATACAGAATGACCCATCACTGCAGGGGGAGGGGAACTGGAGCAAAGCCAAGCCTCCAAAAGAATTCTTATATTAAGCTAAGCCATGATTTGCTAAGGAAGCCATCATGGCCGGCTCATGTAACTCACCACATCAAACTCTGCAATCCAGGATGCCAACCTCTGGCCTGCCCCCCTCTGGAGACCCACTGGTCCCGGAGCAGAGCAGGGATGGGGGTGGAATCCAAAAAGACTCGATGCCACCCCCCATCCCCGTGCAATCTAAGCCCGGCTTTTTTTTAAAGCATGCACAAGCATCTCACAAGGGTGTGTGTGTGCGTGTGACTTTTGCAGGAGTAGCCACCGAGGAAGTCAAACTATCAGAGGGTGGTCTCTGCTTCCATCGGAAGGGGAGAAAGCAGCTGGGTTGCAACTGAGCTCTGGTCCCTGGGCTTGTAAAGTCTGCACCCCCAAATGAGACCAACCCCCCCCCCCCAAAAAAAAAAACACTGGCAGAGGCGACAAGCACACCTGTGGCTCTGTTAAGGTATTCACAGACGGGACTTTGGGGATCTCCCGCGAAAGCCAACCTGGCTGTCATTCACAGCAGTGAAAATGCCCTCCTTTTTTTGGTCAGGGGAGTCAGGGACGGGGACACACACACACATACACACACACACCAGCCACCTGGAGCTACACCCCTCCTGCCCTGCTCTGCTACTCAGTGGCTACTCAGCGTTGTTTTCTGCAAAGGGGGCTCAGCTTGGCTGCTCGTGGGAAAAAGCAACAGCTGGGCCGCTCCCGTGCAGCCCCTGCCCAGACAAAAGAGGGGATGAGAGCCCCCTACCCACCCACCCACCGTCCCCTCAGGAGCCGCCTGCTGCTGGCCAAAGCGGACTGAGCAGGCACCCGGGGAAAACCACAAGCCAGCCTGATAGCACGCGAGACACCCACGCAGAAAGCTTTTGAGAGTGACAAGAAAGAAGGCGGCTGGATTGTTCTCCACTTACGACAGTTCTTTTAGTGACCAAAGTTTACAACGGCACTGGAAAAAAAGCAACTTAGAGCCGTTTTTCACAGTTACAACTATGGTAGCATCCCCCACATGATCACAGGATCAAAATTTCAGGCACTGGGGGGGGGGTGTCATATGATGGTCGCAGCATCCCCGGTCACCAGTTCTCCTTTTGCGACCTTCGGACCAGTCTGTGGAGGAAGCCAGGCTCACTTAACAACTGAGTTACTCCCTTATCGCCTGCCGTGATTCACTTAACAACGGGTGGAAAGCAAGGTCCTTAAACTAACTTAACAAAGGCCTCGCTTAAGAGCAAGAAGTTTGGGGCTCGGGTCGTGGCCGTTAAGTCGAGCAGCAGCAGCACCTGCACGGCACTAAAGCTGGGATTGCTTTTTTGTTCAAAAGCACCAGGAAAAAAGAATAACGAAATAGAATAAAACTAGCAAAAGTGAAACCAGACGCTGCCGCCCCCAGGAAGCCCCAACCCAGTTCCTCTTCACTTCCCGAAAAAGGCAGCGGTGGAAGGAGTGTGGGGGCGCCCCCGTCTATCTTTGGGGGAGCCCGAGAGGAGACCCCCCCAGGGCAGAATACGCCCCCCCCTTCCTTAAGAAAACTCCAGTTTCCATTCCCCACTTCCGGTTCTGAGCTTCCCTTCAGATTTTCGGGCGGGGGGGGGGGGGGGGGGGGCGGGGGGGGGAAGAGGGGGCCCTTTTCCCCCCCCCCCCAAAGCCCCACCCCTCCTTCCAAACAGAGCGGAGGGGGCTCTATGGGGCAGACCCCTCCCCCCCCCCCCACAATACCCTGTTTTCTGGCTGCCAAAGGGGCAGGAAAGGGCAGCCCAAGGAAGAGCAACAAAGGCAAATTATGAGGGTGGGTGGGAGTCCTTGGGAGGGTCTGGGCCAGTGGGGTGTTAAGCATGAAGCAGGTGCTTAGGGCACCAGGCCCAAAGGGGGGGCACCACAAAGGATTATGGCGGCGGGGGGGGGGCACCCAGATTTGTCAGTGTTCAGGGCACCAGGGAGCCTTAATCCGCCACTGGGCAGGGAGTCCCACTTCGCAGCCTCCCCCCACCAAGGGGCAGAGTTCAACCCTCTCCAGGAGTCTCTGGTGGGAGGCCAGAGAGAGAGAAGGCCCAAGATGGCCCCCCCCCCCCCACACACACACACCAGATGGGCATGACTCCCTCAGGCTGCCCACCTCTGGGGCTGTCTCCAGCCTGGCCTTCTTCCAAGGCCTTGGCAAGGATCCGAGGCAGCCCGGCGGCTTCCTGAGTTACGCTGGACTACAATCCCCATCACCACCAAGCCAGGAGGGTGGCAAACTACAGAAGGCAGGGGTCCCCAAACTTGGCCACTTTAAAGACTCGTGGACTTCGACTCCCAGAACTCCCCATTCAACCGTGCCTGTTGTTTTTTGTTTTTTCTCCTGGGGAGATGGCAGAGGAAGGGATTACAAGAGAGTAAGCGGGCATAGAGTTGAAGTCTAACCCAGCTGGCTGGGGAATTCTGGGAGTTGTAGTCCACCAGGCTTAAAGTCACCAAGGTTGGAGACCCCTGTCTTAGGGGATCATGAGGAGGGGGGGGGAATGGATTGTTTTGGGCTGAACCCGGACTCACAAAAAAACCCAAATCTAAGCTCAACAGCCTCTGTGCCTCACACCTGTGTGTGCACATACCACACACACACACAACCTGTGTGTCTTCCCCCCCCCCCTAAAAGGGGGACCCCCCGCCCCCCCCCCCCAACAACTTTTAATCAACTCTGATTTCCCTTTGCTGGGGGGTGGGGGCAGAGGAGGGTCCATCATCCACAGCAGCTCCCCTTTTCAAAGAATCCAAGCCAAGTTCAGCGGAAGACCAGCGCCTGGGGGAAGAGGGACTTTTGTGTGTGTGTATGTGTGTGTGTGTGTGTAAAAGCACTGGCTTCCCCCTCTCTTTCCTCCCCACTCCTTCCTTGGCCTTTCAAAACCCACAGGTTGGTCTTTGGGGCTTGCTATATTTTCTTTCTTTCTTTTCCTTTTCCCCAAAATCACACTTTTTTTTTTTTTTGAAACAGCCCAGAAAAGTCATCAGTTTAAAAGAAAAAGAAAAAAAAAACCAGAAAAAGGAAGAAGGGGGGTGGGGGGGCTGTACAAGAGAGGCTACCGGAGGACAGGAAATCTGACGCAGAGTCGCCAAAGTGGTGGAGAAAAAAAAACACACACTCACACACACACGCAAGCACAGACACACAGAGAGAGAGAAAGAGGCTGGGGCCAAAGGCAGACTGGGGTGCCTGGCGCTCCGGTTCGACCCAGTTTTGAGAGCCGCTGTTGCACAGCCAAGCAGCCCCCTAGAAAGACTCCGGGCGGTCAGAAACCCCCCCTTGTCCCGGGCCTCTTTGGGGGTCCCCCCCGCCGGCAGCCCCTCGCCCAGCCGCTCCTTGTCCGGAGTCCTTTTAACGACGGGGGCGCCCTCGGGGGGGGGGCTCTGCGACTTCCAGGGACTCCCGCTCCCATGGTTCCCGGCCAGGCGGGACTTGGGGGGGGCAGAAGCGGCTCATCTTCCCCAAACTCCCAACGGCCGGCCAGCCCGGGGAGCCGCTGGAAGGGAAGCCGGCGAGCCGGTTGGGTCGGTTTTCTTTGGAAACAAACCACACGCACAAAAAGCAAAGTTGCGCCGAGGCGGAGAGCGGCGGCGGCCCCGCAAGCGGCTCTTCTTCGCCTTCCCTTCCTCCGCCGGCGGGGTGAGCGGCGGGTCACAAGCCGAGCCCCGGACGGCGGTGGGGCAAGAGCGGCGCGCCCGCCCGCTCGCCCTTCTCCCTCCGCGATCCCGGCGGCGGCGCGACTCCCCTTCCCATCATCCGCAGCCGCCGGGGATGATGGGGCAGGAGGAGCAAGATCAGAGCCGCTCGGGGGCGGGGGGGGGG